TGGACTTATCAACACGGTTTCCATTTTATTCTATGCATTTAACGCAATTTCACAATACATATCTGTATTGTTCATACTGATATGCATTGAGACTTTAATTCTACGTGAGATAAAGACCATATCTTAAGAATTCTCATCTCATAAATACCGTCCACATCTAAACCGATAAAAGAATGTTAAGGCCCAGCAAAGCGAAAATCCCTTGACTGTTCACTCAACTCTATCAAGTCGCGGTATGGAAGCGGTAAATGTATTTATGTGCCGAAACATATTTTCAACACATAAATTCTCTTCGTCCACCACATAGCCCGTACAACTCCCTTTCCCGCCGAAGCAAGAAGGTCGCAATACGATTGCCAACATCGGATGTAATAGGGACACCAGCCAAAGAAGCCCCTTCGTCTGCAACCAGAAAGCTCAACATTAAAGTTCACTAAATGATCGACAGATCAAGAGACCGAATAGCCGGGAAAATTACAGTTGCCCCTCAGAAAAGTAGACTATTGGTTTTCATAGATCACCACCAATATTCAAACAAGCAGAGATTTCTCCCAACTTGAATGAGTACCGCGAGATCTTCGGCTAACGTCCACAGGTGACCGCTCCAGTGCCAATGCCCTGAGTCAATCACATTGTATCTCTCGAAAGCTCCACCGTAGTCTGATAAAAGCCGGGTTGCAGCCGCATATTCAACAGAAAATCCACTCGCGAAATTTTCAATGAGTAATTCTAGATCATTTTATGGCTCCGTCAGGGAGTCTCCATAGACCTCCGTGATTTGACCATAGAAATATCTTGAAAAACCAATTTTGAATTTTGAAGATAGATGGACATCGGTTAAAAAGCGCCACACTACCGGGCCACACCTCAAGCGCGGCGATATTTGGCTCTTGGCACATGCATAGCAGAAGAGTATTACAGGACTGTTGTACACGTCTTCTATAACTGTTTCCAGCAATAGAAAAGGGCTTCAACCAACATATGCAAAACTCTAAAGCAAGCCGTCTTTGCCTCGAGGAAATCTTTAGCACTTGGCATGAACGAGTTAGAAGAGTATGTGACTTCTGATGTCAGTCGACCCTACTGCTGTTTTCAACAATAGTAGATACTTCAACCAGCAGCGAACCTCTGCAAACAAGTCATCTTCGCCTTGAGCAAATCTTTTATTCTTACCCTTAGCATGAACGTGTTAGGGGAGAATTTGTTGACTGTTGTCCACATCAGATATAGCTGTTTCCAGCGATATAAGACGTTTCAATCAACAGACGCCAAACTCTAAAAACATGTCATCTTTGCCTCGAGCAAAAGTTTTGGCTGTTGGCATGAACAAGTTAGAAGAGTAATTGGGGAATGTTGTCCGTTTCGGCTATTGCTGTTTCCAGTAATAGTAGAGGCCTCAGCCAACAGACGAATTACCCTAATAAAATGTCATTTCTGCCTCGAGCAAATTTATAGCTCTTGGAATGGACCGGTTGGAAGAGTGTCTAGCGACTAATGTCCACCTTTGCTATAGCTGCCTGCAGCAAACGTAGCATACTTTAGCAAAGGCTTCAACCAGCAGTCGTTCATCTCTCAAACGGGTACCATAATGCCTTGAGCAAAATTTTCAAACCTTGGCATGAACAAATTAGAAGAGTTTGTGACTACTGTTGTCCGTCTCTCCTACGGCTGTTTTCAGCAATAGTAGATACTTCAACCAACTCAGCACAACTCTAAGTAAAAGTCATATTTGGCTTGAGCAAATTACTTGCTTTTGGCATGATCGAGTTCATAGAGCAATTGACGTCTGCTGTCCACTCCAGCTAAAGCTGTTTCCTGCAATAGAAGAAGCTTCAACCAACAGACGTAAAAGTCTAAGACAAGTCATCTTTGCCTCGAGCGAAAGTTCTAGCTGTTGGCATGAACAAGTTAGAAGAGTAATTGGGGAATGTTGTCCGTCTCGGCTATTGCTGTTTCCAGTAATAGTAGAGGCCTCAGCCAACAGACGAATTACCCTAATAAAATGTCATTTCTGCCTCGAGCAAATTCATAGCTCTTGGAATGGACCAGTTGGAACCGGTACCACAATGCCTTGAGCAAAATAGTGGATTTTAGTCGCCTTTTACGACAAGCATGCCTTACTGCGGGTATATTCTAACCCCTAACCCGCGGGGGGACTGCCTACTTGGGTAGATATATGTATACGGGGATTAACATAATTTTCAAAATGCACAAATAAGTACTCAACGTAGACTAAAGTATCAATTTTTGCAAAATGCGATTTTGCCCATCCAAGATTTTCTTCAAGTTCGTATCCTCATCAAGCAGTTACGTTAAGCTAAAAATTAAAAGATTCTTTTGAAGGATTCAATTCGATTTCGATTGTCCTTACTTATACAGATTTTTGGATAGAACTTCAGGACTAATTTGCCATTATAAATCTATCCGTATGTATGTATTGCTGCACTCCTATTAAAATACGAACCAACTTGGAACCAACTTGTTTGTAGAAAAAAAACTATAACCAAAATGAGTTTGAATGATTTGCATGATTTCCATTCATTCATTCACATTCTTCCATTTGAAGGTAGAAAGTTTAAAACAAAATATATATTCATAACTTACAAAATTCCAGACGCTGAGTGTTTGGTATGCGAAGTAGAATATTCAAATCTACTGTACTCTGTTTAGCTAGAAGTTTAAATGAATTAATGCAGCCCTCTAATACATATACATAGATGTATGTATATACGCTACTCATAAGTTCATATGAATGTTTTTCTTGAGGAACCATTATGTATTTTTGTTGTATGTCAAGTAATTATTTTAGTGGATAACATAATAGGGATGAAAAGTTAGGAACATTTTATTGTATACAGTTTTCTTAACGGCGGCTCAGAAATGCAGTTAAAATTTACGGATACACAGAAGATTCGAAGTAATTGTTCGCCGATAAACTCAACAACGCAATTTGACAAAAGGTAAAACCACGAAACAGTGTAAAGCATAGAACCCTGAAAATACTCCTGTGCGAAAGGTAGGCGGAAGATGAAGAGGAGTTCGGAGCAAGTGAGAGTTGCCAAAGTAGCGTGGTGAATACAGTAGCAGAAATTGTGTACGACCCAGTGGGGAAAGGTAACGTCTGTTAATGCTAAAAGTAATGGATAGCCCCTATAACCTACGCCCGAAAAGATTCAATAATTTCTCCACAGCGATGTCATCCGAAAGCAATGTGTCGCATGTCGCTTTAACAAACTATAAATAGAATCTATAAATAGTAGAATAAAAAAATAAATAAATAAAAAATAAAGTTCGTCCCACAGGTTTTGAACCCGTGACCAACAACACAGTAGTTGAACATGCATCCTCGGCTCGGCTACAGCAGCTGTTGAGATAACGTGAAAAAAACCAGACTTTAGTTAGTTTTCAAACTCTTGTTTTGTTTGTGGCTTCAACCCTACACATCACCCGCTCGCTTACATTGCGATGCATCTTTTCGTTCAACCGTAGTTACGTCTTTTCTTGGTAGAAAAAGGTAATGCATACCCATTTTCCCACTGGGGTGTATTTATTGGGCATACCTTATGNCCCCTATAACCTACGCCCGAAAAGATTCAATAATTTCTCCACAGCGATGTCATACGAAAGCAATGTGTCGCATGTCGCTTTAACAAACTATAAATAGTAGAATAAAAAAATAAATAAATAAAAAAATAAAGTTCGTGCCACAGGTTGTGAACCCGTGACCAACAACACAGCAATTGAACATGCATCCTCGGCTCGGCTACAGCAGCTGTTGAGATAACGTGAAAAAAACAGACTTTAGTTAGTTTTCAAACTCTTGTTTTGTTTGTGGCTTCAACCCTACACATCACCCGCTCGCTTACATTGCGATACATCTTTTCGTTCAACCGTAGTTACGTCTTTTCTTGGTAGAAAAAGGAAATGCATACCCATTTTCCCACTGGGGTGTATTTATTGGGCATACCTTATGCATGTGTGTGTAAACAGCGTGGCAAAAGTGCATCAGAGGTTTGCATGTAGTATGTACAATGTACATACACACATACATATGTGTTCAAATGTCTGCGCCTTCGTTTCTCGAATTACTATTGGAAGCCGCTGTATTTGTGCAAATACAAACCCTGCAGGAAATATATCTAACTATAAGCTAACTTCAAGTTGATTAAGAAGGAGCTAAAAGTCACTTATTATCTGTATATTTTCTTTGGCGAAACCTAACTATATTTGTATGGCGGTGGCCGCGAAATAGTCAAGGGTGGTTTACCTCTGCATTAGATGTAGCCAAGGGTGGTTACCTCTGCATTTGATGTAACTAACTTGTGACTAACTACTTTTGAACATAAAATATCAATAGGAAAAACAAAATATTTTTATTTTAATTTTTTTATTTTTATTTACTTTATTTATTTTATTACAAATTCATATTTGTTTCCATATTCCGCTGTAGGTGGTCCCATATTCGAGCTTCGTCAGACAAAACTTCACAATGATAATATGAAATTTCGAACTTCCTTTTATTTGTCCTCAATGCGAAAAAGTATTTGCGAAGTGCTAGATATTTAAATAGAAACGCGTTTAAAGAAAACAATCTTGAGCTTTACTCCTGCATTACTTGTCCACTTGTTTCAAGTTAGCTTTTTGTAGCTAACTACAGGTTATATATTTCATAGAAATCCCGCAAAAAAGCTAACTACAAATAGGTTATTTTTTATCAATGTAATTTTTTTTCTGCAGGGAAGCTACGTTTTGAATTTACTCGTATATCAAACTGCAGATTAATACATATGTATTTGTACATATGTACATACATGCATATGCAATCATTCGAGGCCAAATATACCTACTTGCGTGAATGTATTTACATATTTGTTTTCTATTAAATTACGTACCTACTTGCTTCTACTAACTTTGTTACATTTGAAGCCAATACTGCCAGTCAGGCAAAGAAACAAGCATAGTAAGGTAAACAAACAGCATGGCCGCAGAACGTGAAAAACTTTAAATACTCGTGCATTCATAGCCACGAGCATAAATATACTAACTCCACGGTAGGCTGCCAGTTACTCTCACCAAAAAGAATGAAACCGGAGTCTGGCAGTCACTGGCGCAAAGGACATTAATTGTATGTTGATGTTGGTTGATTTTTCCGACAGGGTGGTAAGATGATTTATTTTGGAACGAAATTTCGTCATCCCTTGTCAAGCTTGGTTTGTAGACAAACCGGTTTCGGCGTTGTGCCATCTTCAGTGTCATTTTATGTTGGCACAACGCCAAAACCGGTTTGTCTGCAAACCCAGCTTGCCAGGGGATGACAGAAATTCGCTCCAAAATAAGACAGCTGTGTTAAAATTAATTGTAGCGCCGCTGGACCATTCCTAACAAATTTAAAACTCAAGTTTCAAAAATTAAGATTGCATATGAAGTGGTTAAAGAACTAGTTTTTAGACATTTTCTATATTATAAACATTGGTTTGTTTATAAACTAGTTCTTAAAGATCGAACTATATTTTAAATAAAAATTATTAACAAGTAATTTTTAAGCAAAAAACAAAAACCGACTGCAATTCTCATATACAAAATTTAAGGCTACCGTTAATTTCTTCATGGTCCAATGATCGGATCTACATAAACCAAATTATAATGAGGTACCAGCTTTCCGCTAAAAACAATTATATAGATCGGTTAACGTAGTCCAAAGTTATGCGGTAACATACATAAAGAAAACACAAAAAAATATATTCCGACGAATTGATAAACTCCTCATTTTTTTGAAGTCGGTTAAAAATAAATTAGCGTAAGTTCCAAGCAATTCATTTTGAATTTTGCTACTATTTCATTGTCCGCAACTGTAAATATTTTTTTATTTGAAATTGGAAGCGCTATTTAATTGAAACGCGTACAAGCACATGTACATGTGTATATACTTATGTATTAGGACTGAGTGTTCTATACGGAGTTTTTGACTATCTGTATAATCCGGGTATCCGAATCATCCTTTGGTCGGTGCCCGCACATGAAGGCTTTGCTGACAACGAAAGGCTGACGAGTACCGCAAAACGTAGGTCCCAACGGAACCTATATGGTGCACAGCCATCCTGTGGAGCTCCTAAGGGAAAAAGCCAATCTAAGAAACATCCTCTAGAGGTAACTCTTCGCAAAACACCCCAAAAATTGGTTTATTAACTATATCACCAAGGTGTTTTTTTTTTGTAAAATATCTAAAACATATTTTGGTACATTTTTAAAATGCTGGTTCACTTTTTGGTACACAAAAAATTATGTAACGGTGTATATATGTATGTATGTACATAGTATAGGTAACGCCATTCATTACTATTGACTATTCTTCTTGAGTATTCTGACAAAATATTTTTTATTTTAACTTTTATTTCAACATAGATTGATTAGAAAAAAAATACTGATAAAAATAAAATATTTCACACAAACCGGGTTGAAATTTTGAAATTCCTGCCTGCATTTGGTTTGTAAATCAAATATTAGTGGCATTGTGCTACTAAGTATGATAGCACGGTCGAGTAATCATAGTTGTCAGAACACCTACTACCTAGTAAACTTTATTTAATTTTAGTACCATTCTTCGCGCCAATCCTTTCCTGAAAAACATTTATAAGCCCACTGATTTGCATGCATTCGAGCACCATTAGCGGAAATCATTACAAATACAATTAAACAACAAATAATGACAAAGCGAGCAGAGAATCAGTTATTGCGTTTAAATNCGATTTGCATGCATTCGAGCACCATTAGCGGAAATCATTACAAATACAATTGAACAACAAATAATGACAAAGCGAGCAGAGAATCAGTTATTGCGTTTAAATAAACCGAAGATAAATAAATTGCAATTGCTAATACCAATGCCGATGCTTTTTATTAAAAAGATACTACAGCAAAAAGGGAAATAGTAAAACAAAACAAAAGCAAAGAGGAAAAATAACAAATTAGCGTTATAATAATAGCAGTCAAGTAGTTGTAGCAATAATCAAGAGTGAAAATACAGTTATTGCATGTGCTTTTCTGTGGCATTTATTATGTTAGTGAAATTGCCAAGGCACGAGAGCCTAGGGTGTATTTGTGGCAATTTAAATGCCTCAGTATGTAGCAAACGCTTGGGGAAAAGTGGAGAATGAAATTACAAAGCATAAGCGGATGAACACCAATAACATAACTACACTAAGGAAAAAGTAGCATAGTAGAATTTTTCATTCAACATGTCGTTTTTGATGTTCCCATATTTTAGGAATTTAACAGATACAAAAATTTGCCTTTAAATTTTATACATATGTACGTACATAGTACTAGAGCCTTGAATCCCGAAGCATTTTAATAATCCCATGATTTCTTATCCCGGCATTTTTCAGGATTTTGCATTTTTCAGTAGACTTAATCATTAAATCACAGATTTATTGTCTGCACATTCGGTCTTATGCACCCTAGTAGAAGAGTCTGTAATTTAATGTTAAATAATTTTATAGTACTCTTGATTATATCTTGATTAATTGTAAAAACCATTTACTTATATTTGCAGAAATTCAATTACCACAAAACCACGCCAACAAAGTAAATTGAAGAAAAAACTCTGCCACAACACTGTAAAAGTTTCTTGTGTTATCAATTGCTACCAGATTTTTCGTTCTCACTTAAAAAAACAAAATATTTGAACAAGTACGGTTATTCACGCAAATGACTGAAGTTCACTTTAAATCCAGATGTTGGTGTTCTGTATTTCTCATTGTTCATGTCAAATGCGCGTGAATCAATTTGTTCGTTTTTAAATTTCACTTTCACTCGGACTCTAGAACATGCCTAATTATGTAAATAAATCAGTACAAATCTCGGGATGGAAAAGTGTCCGGGATCCCGGGATTGAATGTCCTAATACATACATACTTACATATGTACATTAGACGGCATCACCAAAAAAAGTTGCTGGTTTTCCGGCAGGATTACAAAACCAAGTATATTTTGAGACTTCTACCAAAATATTTCGGAAAAATATTAAGATTTGGGTGAGCTGGCCGGTTGGAAAATACCTCTAAAAATGGAGTTTTTTTATGAATAAAAAAAGCTTCTTAAAGGATTTTTTGGAAAAAATCCCCTCAGATGACAAAACAGTTTAAGCTTAAAAAATTTACATAAAAATATTAAAAAATTGTATCAACGGAATCATAAAAATGTGATTTTTGATGCTGTTTTTAAACCTTTTTTAAAGATTTGTGTAAGAAAAACTTGAATAACTGCTGCAAAACTTTACCGATATAGACTACTGAGGTATCAGTGGAAAGGTATTTTCTCACCCTTTTTATTTCTATAATAATAATAATAATAGATTGGCGCTGGTGTTAGTGTTTGGCCGAGCTTCTTCTCCGATTTGTGGCGTGCGCCTTGATGTTGTCACACAACGCGGAGGGACCTACAGTTTTGCGCCGACTCCGAACGGCGATTGTATTTTTATGAGAAGCTGTTTTTCATGGCAGAAATACACTCGGAGGTTTGCCATTGTCTGCCGAGGGACCGCCGCTGTTAAGAAAAAAACCTTTTTTCTATATTTTTTTTTCGATGTTGCTTTGACCAGGGCTTGAACCCAGGNCAAATTTCACTTTCACTCGGACTCTAGAAAATGCGTGATTATGTAAATAAATCAGTACAAATCTCGGGATGGAAAAGTGTCCGGGATCCCGGGATTGAATGTCCTAATACATACATACTTATGTACGTTAGACGGCATCACCAAAAAAAGTTGCGGTTTTTCCGGCAGGATTACAAAACCAAGTATATTTTGAGACTTCTACCAAAATATTTCGGAAAAATATTAAGATTTAGGTGAGCTGGACCGATTTGAAAATACCTCTAAAAATAGTTTTTTTATGAATAAAAATAGCTTCTTAAAGGGTTGTTTGGAAAAAATCCCCTCAGATGACAAAACAGTTTAAGCTTAGAAAATCTACACAAAAATATTAAAAAATTGTATCAACGGAATCATAATAATGAGATTTTTGATGCTGTTTTTAAACCTTTTTCAAAGATTTGTGTAAGAAAAACTTGAATAACTGCTGCAAAACTTTACCGATATAGACTACTGAGGTATCAGTGGAAAGGTATTTTCTCACCCTTTTTATTTCTATAATAATAATAATAATAGATTGGCGCTGGTGTTAGTGTTTGGCCGAGCTTCTTCTCCGATTTGTGGCGTGCGCCTTGATGTTGTCACACAACGCGGAGGGACCTACAGTTTTGCGCCGACTCCGAACGGCGATTGTATTTTTATGAGAAGCTGTTTTCCATGGCAGAAACACACTCGGAGGCTTGCCATTGCCTGCCGAGGGACGACCGCTGTTTAAAAAAAAAATCTTTGTTCTATATTTTTTGCGCAGTTGCTTTGACCAGGGCTTGAACCCAGGTGCTGATGAGTGAAAGCGCGCACTGCTTACCACTACACGACAGCAGGAGAAATATTTTTCCGTTGATGCAAACCAAAAAAACATTCACTTTATATCAGAACTTAAAACAGTTAAATTAGATCGGGTCGCTCTGCACACCAACCATTTTTTACTATCAGGTTTCAAAGCTTGTTATACATACATATATGTATACGTATGTATGCATCCTTTCAAATATTTATGTACTGTTACTACGTTTCCTACGAGAAAACGTCGACATTTACTGCAATGTTTAATTTCTCGGAACTAGCAGTTTTACACACAAAATATTAAAAATTTATTAAATAGGAGCACATAACTTTTATGATTGGCAAACTATTTGCAATGTTAAACATTTCAGGTTTTTAAACCCAATTTTGTGAGTCGCATAGCAACTATAGTTAAGTGCTATAAAGTTGAAAAGAATCGAATTTTGAGGTACCAGCAACCCGGATTTGAGTGTAAATAATCTACGGCTTATTGAAAAAAAATAAATAAATTTTCACAACCAAAATTCCGCGGCAACCACAAAAATGTAGTTGCCAATATAGCAACNAAAACTCAAATCCT